TTCCTTTGGTTCTTTTGTTGGAGGATTGAAGGAGTTGCCGTTTTATCTGTTGTTAATTTGTCTCCTGTTGCACGGCTTCTAGTTCCCTGTCGAATAGTTCTCATTTTAAATGTCACGTTTCCATTAGCTACGAGTGTAAAATCATCATTAACAGAAATATAGGCTCTCAAATATATATTCTGTGTCTAATTAATCTATATCATGTGTTTCACTTGGTGAAATGCTTCCTAAACAACAGCTAAATCGTTTCTTAACCATGACCAACCGCTTTGACGTCTTTCAGTCTCGTGAAAGAGTCTTACGCTCACCACAGTACTGAGACTGCCCTTGTCAAACCGTTCAATGACATCCACATAAATACAGAGTGTGGAAGAACCACAGTATCGGTTCTGTTGGACCTCAGCGCAGCTTTTGCCATGGCTGACCACGGCATAGTACTGAATCGGCCGGAGAGCTGGGTCGAACTCTCTGGCACAGAAATGGTTTGAGTCTTACCTAAAGAACAAGCTTCTCAGTTTGGACAGAAGTCACACATGGGGTACCCCAAAGTTCAGTCCTGGGATCCATATCTACATGCTCCCACTAGCCCAGGTCATAACAAGCTACTTAAATAGCTGCACAGATGATGCACAGCTCCACATCACAATGTCATCAGGTGACTCTGAACCCATCCAACCACTGAACAGATGCTTAGGACAGATAAATGTATGGAGGTGACATGGCTTTCTCCAGGTGAACAAAAACAAAACTGAAGTTAGTATTTTTGAACCTAAAGAGGAATAATTCAGAATCAGCACAATGCTTCAATTGCAGCTAGTATCTAGCTGTAATTGCCCGAAATCTGGTTGTGGTGAACTTTAATAGTCACATAAAGACGGTTACAAAGTCGACAAACATTTCCAGGATTAAATAACTAACGTCCCAACAAGATCTAGAGAAACTCGTCCTTGTGTTTATCTTTAATTGCTTTGATTTCTGCAGCAGTGTCTTCACAGGTCTGCCTACAAAATCAATCAGACGGCTGAAGCTGATCCAGAACGCTGCTGCTGGTGTTCTCACTAAATACAGGAAAAGGTTTTATATCTGCAACTTCCACAGTTTTATGTGTGCCAAACACAAGATAGGTAGATAGATGGATAGATAGATAGATAGATAGATAGATAGATAGATAGATAGATAGATAGATAGATAGATAGATAGATAGATAGATAGATAGATAGATAGATCTCATTTTGTTTATCTAGTAAAGAAACATGCTAATTCAACATCTGTCACATCTTGATTTTATTGTGAAATGTCTGAGGCAAAGTAAAATCCGTCTAAAGTCTTCACTTGTTCAGATTCTCACTTGTCCACTTTGTCCCCCTCTTCCTCTGAGAGCATTGTCCTTGATCCCTTTTGTTTCAAGTATTTATTCTATTTTTTTTTTTGTCAGACCTTAATAACACACCTTTAAAAATATCTCATTATCATGTCGCCAGGCTGATAAACACAGTTGTAAAATGCGGTTTCTCTGCCCATGGGGCATTCAAGGGCGTATTTGGGCTGGGAAATGTGCATAATGAATGTCAGCGTGGCATCACAAAGAGTCAAAAGCGAAATGTTTTAGGATTCTAGTGGTGGTGTTCACTTAATGTCATGTCCTGCAGTTACTCCTGCTGATGAAGCTGAACTTCCATTAAGTTAATGGCAAACACACAAATTGAGTCCTGTTCAAGAAAATAAAAAAAAATACCTTATCCTAGTTGCTTCCTCCCAGAGGACTAAGTGGTTTATTTCTGTAGGTATGAAAATAAGTACTAGAAACTTAACAAATTAAAAAAGTGCTTGTGGCATCAGATGGATATGTAGAACCGAATCTTTTTTTCATGGATTTGAAAGAAAAGAATGGCATGTTAAAAAACAAAACTTTTAAAGAGAGAAGGTTTTTTTTGACTATTAGGAAACACACTGATAAAACCCCCAAGTTATGCTTAATGTCACATTTTAGCAACTTTACGTTAAAAGCCTGGTTCTATCATGATGCCAGGTTGTTTCAGTGTATTTTTCTGCACCGCATTCTTCTGATAAAGGTTGATAGTAAACTGTTTTTTGTGTTGCATTGATAAGTCTGTAGTTATCAAACCTTATAGTTCACAAATAAAACCTGAAATGTGCTGGCTTCTGGCAGCAGCATTAGCTTTAAGCGTTTTGTTCAGAGGTCGCATGCTGTGATGGGAGGACATAGTTATGGGCTCTTTAACATGCTCTTTCATTGCAATATTCCCTGTTCACCACAAGTGCCGCAACTGGATGGATCCATTCGGTGTTAAGCTTTGTGAAAAACCATATCCCCTCTGATTTGCTCTTTAGATTACATTTAAATTAGCCTTACTCAGTCCAGGTCTGTTTCCTGTCCAGATTTCTGAATATGAAGTGGTCTGTAATAAACAGAAAAATGGGTTACCGCTCCGTAGAAAGTCTGATTGACTGATTGCGTGTTTTGTTTTAACATTTTACTTTTTCTTCATAAAATATTGGCTTCTTTCTTGCCCATACGTAATATCCTTCCTGGATGGTCGTTAGAGCGATGTGCTTTGGGCAGATGAAAGCTGAAACTGGCCCCATCTTGTCAGCACTTGGACTTGAATTGGTCCTCAGAGAGATGAGGAGTCAGGTTTTGGCCTCAGTCTCACATGTTATGGATAGGTGGGTGTGTTGCATTCACATTCGTATGAGGTTATGAATTCAGACAACCACCTTGGTCAGTAATCATAAATGGCTGCAGGAAATTTACTCTGGTGTAAATGGATGAATGCATTCCGCTGTGGGTGCAGATAGAAGGAGAGAAAAGAAACCAGGAAACTCCACGTTTGCTTAAGGCATCCATGTGACAAGCTGTGGAAATCCTTGCACTTTAAACAATCAGATATGTTGACGCACAGGCAGCTTAGCATGGCCTTTTTCATTTGGGCGTTCATGTCTGATGGCCCCAGCCTCTTGTCAAGGATGCAAACAGCTCTGACAGGAAAGTGGGAGAGGATTGCATAACCTTCGTCTGCTTGTTGACAGACTTAAAGTGATGGGCAGCACGTTAGTCAGAAGGTCAGGATTCTTGATTAGGTTGACATCACCCAAAGTAAGCCAACTCAATATCAATGCCATCAGTATAAGCAGACATGCAGCGTCTTGCAAAGTGCAAAGTTATTCACACCACTTTAACTTACAATCACAAACCTTTCCATATTTTTATTGGGATCTTATGTGATAGACAGACAGAAAGAAAGGCATAATTGGGAGGGAAAATGTAAAACAAGTGCACCAAATATCATAGTTATAGAGTTTGTCTTTTGTACAATTTAATTTCAGCGAAAATAAAGCAGATCGGTGAAAATTTCAGAGGTTTGCTAAAAAGCATTCATGAAAACGCTGAAGTTCAAGGGACACAACAGACAGGCCAGGAATGAAGTTGTGGAGAGGTTTAAAGTAAAAAATAAAAACAAAACAATAAACAACATTATCAAGAGCTTTAAGCTTCTCACAGATCAACCGTGAGAATATTATAAAACTATGGCATAAGTGCAGCTCTGCCAAGACATGGCTGTACAGCTACACTGACAGTTCAGACATTAATCAAAGAAGCAGTAAAGAAACTCATGGTGTGACCCAGGAGTTGTTTCAAAGATCTACAGTTCAGGTGGGAGAATTTGTTGACAGCAAAATTATTAGTCATGCTATCAGAAATCTGTCCTTTATAAAAATAAAAAAAAAATAAAAAGTAACATAAAGAAAGTGACTTTCAGTGGAAAGTGATTAAAAACATAAAGTTTTCAGGTCAGGTTTTTGGAGTTTTCTGGAAAGAAAAAAATAGCTGAAACTATTTGCTATGTTAAGACAACAGTAATGTTGGTCTTTTCAGCTATAAACACTCCAGGTGAGTTTGGCATCAAAACAATGGATGAAAACTTAAAAAAAACAAAACATATTTAGCAAAAGTCATTTGACAACATCCTTAACTTTTTTTTATGTAACCCCTGAATAGGAACCTTTGATTATTAATCCATGACATCTTGTTTTCCTCCGATACAAAGTTTGACATATTTCACGTTTTTCTGGGCCTCTAACAAGAAAACATGCCATTTATAAATTTACTACTTACTTAAAATTACCGTCATTTATAGTCAGAAGCATAATTTAAACAATAATATCAAGTGGAACTGCAATAAATAAGGCTGGACAAACATCCATGTTTATCTTCCCATCATGGACAGTTAGGAAGATGATACGAGAGGGAAAGAAAATCTGCACGGATATGAGATCTTCAGTGACACCGTGCTGTCAGTCACCATAGGAACTGTTTAGTTTAGGGATCTCAAACAGATGTTTAAAAAGGTAGCAATAATTGCAAAAGGGTGCTGTGTAATTTACGGCCTTGGAACGCTTCAGGTGCTTGTTATATCTGCAATAAAATAATCTTGCATTCGTCTTTCGGAAATTTGTGTTGCAATAGTTTAGTCAAATACTTGCCGACGTAGGTCATGCTCTGAGTCATGAAAGTGTACACCGACAGCCTTAATTTACTGGAATGAGTTTTGATCTCGCTCTCTGCTGGGGGAGTTTTATTTTTTTTGTGTTCCGTGTTTCTTTTCTTTATGGGGGATTACTCCAATTAAAATTACAGCTCTATGGAATCAGCTCCTGCTGGGAGTTTTATCCTTTTCTCTTGGCAGCCTTTCTTTTTATAGCCTGGAAACATTAAGCGTGCTCCAACAAGAACCTGACTCTTTGTGAAGGGATACTGAGCATGTCAGTCACCAGCAGTCAGCAGGCATACAAGGCTCCTTGGGTCAGAATGCGTGACAGGCATTTGAACATTTGTAGTCCACTTACCATCTCTGCGATATTTAATGTAAACCAAACTCTTGGTTTACGGAACGCTCCGTGGCTTTAAAAACAGTGTCTAATCTTCATGGCAGCTGAGAGGTAAACTTTCTCTGCATGTCCTGCTGTTTTCTTCACAGTGCAACCAGAAGGCACAAAGGAGGGGCCCACCTGCATGGACAAGAACCACGGCTGTGCGCACATCTGCAGGGAAGCGCAGAAGGGTGGCATCTCCTGTGAGTGCCGACCTGGATTCCAGCTCACCCGGAACATGAAGGACTGCAAACGTAAGTCGTCCTAACCCCAGGGGTTGCATGGAAACATGCACAAATGTCGGCATGGCTGCTTTATTGGCTCCTCAGGAAGAAGGTGATTGTGGTTTGGAAGCAGGCCGGGGATGGATAATCGCACTCACCACACAAACGTCTTCCAAAAAAAAGTTTGAAGTTGACATTTATGTGGCATTACCGAGCTCTGACTAATCTTCTCAATGGTGCTCGTAAAAAATAGAAAAGAAACATGTTTTTCAAATAAGTAGGGATCATTTACACAACCGGGGCAAAGTGTTGGAGGTTAGTCGAAGGGGACTGCTCGGACAGACAGCGCGCACTTCCTGTTGCCGTGCAACAGAGATCATCCTGTCAGAGCTGGGGGCCATGGCCTGATAGGGTGGGGGAGGGGGGATTTGTCTGTGTTTGGATAAGGATTGGAGAAGTGTTATTCTATGGTTTCTCAATGACAGCTCAGGAAAAAGGCGAAAGGTGTTGGGATGGGACAGTTCAGATAGGATGACGATGGAAGCCTCGGCTTGGCCATGCTCTTTTTCACTCTGTCATCACAGGTTTCTTTGAAAGGTTAAGCTCTTTATGCGCTCTGCTCCACAAATGTACTTCACAGAAACATGCGAAATTGCAGTAAAAATTGAAGGCTTCCTGTCATGATTCATGAATTGCTGCTAATGAATGGAAAAGCATTTCGTTGCTGCAAAATTAACTGAGCTTGTCAGATTTCCCTCCTAATCTCACAGTTCAGACTCAAATAAGGCGACTTTTTTTTATTGATCGAAATGAGTGCTGAAAACAAGAAGTACTTATTCCCCATAATTAAATAAAATGTTTCTCCTTTGGCTTCAAATAATATTCTGTCTGCATAAACTTAGAGTTTGGGAGGCACTAGCCAGGCAGTATGCTTGCTTTGTAAGCTGCTGTGATAATTAGTGTGTTTTTGGTGTTTGATTTACTAATTCTGGCTGTAAAATTGATTAAAATAGGAGAGAAATTTCCTTAGTGGTTAAATGTACTCAAATTAAAGACTGATCTTATACTACAGCTTTAAAAATACATTTATTTTAGGACATTTTATACTTGAACCAAGGTTGAAGTACAGGTATTGAGTAGTGTATTTAGCATGAGGAGTGAGACATCCTGCACAGATTTGGTCTTATTACAGAACAGCTCATCATATAGCAAGAAAATGCTAACGTGTTTGCTAGCATTGAAACAGGGTTTAACCTCTGCACTAGCAGTAGCTCAGTCAACAATCAGTGCTTCTTGTTAAGTGCTCTTTCTGAAACAAACCTTACTGAGTGAGTCTTTGAAGCCATGGGAACGACTGGGTGCAACCTAAGTTCAGTGTTTACGCGACGGAGCATATGGCCCAGTGAAAGAGTTGCTTGTTATTTACTCGTTCTCCACTTCCTGACACCTCCTCGCTGACTGTTAAAAATTCGAGAAAAAGTTGTGTGCGCACTCCTCTTTAATTAGCCCGTGTTTACTCCTGCCTCCTTTGATAGTGACGTGCAACTACGGCAATGGAGGCTGCCAACACATCTGCGAAGAGACGGACCATGGCCCCAAATGTTCCTGCCACATGAAGTTTGTCCTCCACAGCGATGGAAAGACTTGTGTAGGTGAGTCATCTCATCCAGAAATGACCACAAATGGCAGGAAATCATTTTTTTGTCGAATGAGGAAATTACAGCGCAGTGAGACCTGAGCAAATTTAATTAACATCTAAAATGGGGTTTTACGTGATAAAATGCAAGCTGAGAAGCAGGCTTTGGTACATGTAAGAGATGTTGCTGAGTTTTTTATAATGATTCGTGACATGCAAGGTCAAAGGGCTACCATTCACTGTTCTTCTCCTTTTAGTGCTCCTTCAGCGTAAACTCCTCGCTCCCGCATCTGCTTCCACCTCCCTTCCTCTGACTTTTTCCTGGACTCTGTCTTTTCCTCTCTCTGTTTTCCACAGTCATGTCAGAAACGCACACCCTCTCTCAACCTGTGGGTCACTTGCTTCACTGCTTCCTGTCTGAGATTAACTCACACACCTGATCTAACCTTCCGCTGGCATGTTTCAGTGTTTGCCTCGGGTTAACTTACTATGAGGGAAAATCTATTGGCTACTCGGATCATATTGAGCCGTTCTGAAGGGAACTTTTTAACCAGTGTGTGTCCAGGAGAGTGGGAGCATAGTGCTTGATGGATGTGTATAACCATGCAGAAGATTGTTGATATTTCAGTGATGGAGTAGAAATAAATCTGGTGCTAATGCAGAACCAAAGTAGCAGTACAACCTTTGTTTTTTTTTTGTTTTTTTTACTTCCAGTGCCTTTGAAAAACATCTTCATACACCTTCAACTGTTAAACATTAGGTCCATTTATTTTATTGAACTTTATGTGATAGACCAACATATGGTCCTGCATAATTGTGAATTGGAAAGAAAATAATATTAAGTTTTTAAGCAAATTCACAAATCAGAAATGTAGTATTTAAGCCATTTTACTCTGTTGGTACTGAATTAAAAAAAAAAAAAAAAAAAAAAATCAACAACCCCCCTTAAAGGGTACTTCAGAATGGGAGAAAAAAAAAAGGTGGGGAA